TAATTTATATGTACCAAATTGATTATTAAGGATAAATTTTTCTTTCAAAATTTAAATATCTTTGTTTAAATAGGTGCCTCTCTCACTAAAGAAGAGATATATATGATTAGTTAAGCAACTTCATGTTTTTTCAAGCCACATAATTTGCTGAAAAATGAGAAAAGGTAACTTAATAGTTCATTATAATTTTTTATAATGTTTGACTATACATTTTTTGTAGGAATTAAGATATAGCAATGTTGCAGAGGTGTGATAGGAGGAAAAATGCACATTCCCAGTGCAGTTAAAATGTATATATGTAATTATACAAGCAAGTTCCCGATTTCTTTCTGTTGTGAAGAATTTAATACAAGGTCATTGTTGCAGTATTTAAAAAAAACAACACTCTGGTCATCACGTGACCAGTAACCGTTCACCGCTATCAATGAAAAGCATGAGAGCTCTTACCTACGGAAGCGTATTATGGCCGCAGCAGTATCCTTTTTTTTATTTGTTTAAACAAATTATTAATTTGATTTAACAAATTATTAATTTGTTTTAACAAATTATTAATTTGTTTTAACAAATTATTAATTTGTTTTAACAAATTATTAATTTGTTTTAACAAATTATTAATTTGTTATAACAAATTATCAATTTGTTATAACAAATTATCAATTTGTTAAAACAAATTACTAATTTGTTATAACAAATTAATAATTTGATATAACAAATTAGTAATTTGTTATAACAGATTAGTAATTTCATATAACAAATCAATTTGTTATTTAAGCATTGAATCATTATTTTTTGAAAGACATAGTCTCATAACTGCAACGTGTGTGCAGACAAATTGAGTAACGCGCGTTAGCGCGTTATGAAAATTTGTTTGCACACACCGTTGCTTATGAGACTATATCTTTCAAAAAATAATGATTCAATGCTTATATTTACATTTTTTAACTCCTTGCCGTGACTGCAAAGGTGTTTTTTTTATTTCAAAATCTCTGTATTATTCTTCGGGTAAGTTACATTTAATGGAAGAGCCATTGCAACAGCTTCTGTTCAATGTGAGCGTGAAATCTGATTTTCGCTTATGACGTTGCACTTCCACAGCGTTAAACGTTTGTGATGTCAAAATAAAACGCATACTTTAACCTTTTGACCCCCTGTCCGTGTTAAGGTGTTTTGAATGTCGTAGCTTTCCTCATACTTTATAAGCAAAATACATGTTGAATGTAGATGTAACAAATTAATAATTTGATTTAACAGATTAGTAATTTGTTATAACAAATTACTAGTTTGTTATAACAAATTATTAATTTGTTATAACAAGATACTATTTTTGATAAAGTGATTTACGGAAGCCAGATCAGATCAGAAATCTTCTAAGTTGGATTTATGAAAACGATAAATACATAAGCTCTGCAGCTACAGCTTTTGACCAGTATGTTAATCTGGATTTACATCTTTTAGCACTTAGAGTTTTCACTGTCAAACATTATTGTTATAAAGATGCAATGCATCAAATTCTTTGGTTCCTATTGCTTATTGAATTTTGTCCTTCCATGCCCCCCCATCCCCCACCAGGGCTCCGTCCTTGACTCCTATCTACCAGGTCACTGCATCCCCATTCGTATGATAGGGAAAAAAATATCGTATTTAAGACATGATATTTTGAGAGGGAATTTTTCCTACCTTGAATTAACATGTTCAAAATAATATGTTTTCTTTTCAATATGTCTTCTTTTTTGTTTTATTTCATTTTACTCTCTCCCTCTCGATTCATTCTATACATGTACCAGATGATGATCTACTTTACGTACTGCTTTTCAATTTTTAAATGTACCATTAATTTTATGCATGTATGTACTTAGACAAATGGAGAGAATATTATAGGCATTTATGACTACTGTTCAATCCAGTTTATGTATAATGAATAAAATATATTTTAAACTAAACCACTGTTCCTAGTGCAAAAACCTGAATCTACTCCTCTGGTGAACCTCCTTGGCCCTAATTTATGCTGGGGGCAATAAAGGCAACATTGACAAAAATGAATTTGTAGATAAATTATCACAGAAAAAATGATAAACACTCTGTAATAACCTTCTCTGAAAACGAAAATAAACAATATTCTTGGGTGGGTAGTACTTGGTAAAATTTGGATTTAGATACCTTGTGTTATTTTTTCATACATGTATGTAATTTTTATAATCAAAATACGTGCCTTTTGAAAAAAGCCCTCAAAGTGCACTAAAGCCTTCATAACTTATTACTGGCTGAAAACTTTGACAGTTGTTTCTTCAAATTCATTCGTAATTTGTATCCTGGTTGCCTCATATGGGACTACTCATATATTTTACAAGAAATCGTTAAGCAATTTAATTTGTTATATTACACATGTGTAAAGATGGAAAATTAGGTCTTCTCCCCTTTTGACCCGTGTTGACTTTGGAAAAAAGTGTTAATTTGAAAGGACTACGTTGAAATCATATTTTAAAATTGTCCGGAACTTCGAATTTTTCTCAATATGAAGGATCCAACATTCTGTATTTCCTCTACATAATCCCTGGGATGCAGCTATTATTTTAATTGTCTAACAGAGACATTTATTCCAAGAAACCGACTCAAAAAAGAAGAAGAAAGCCACCTTGTTATGAAGCATAACCCCAGATTTTATGATGACAAAACATTGCCAAACATAAATGTATACAATCAATTGATTTTGATACACATTTGCCTCAGTACATGGAATGTTTTGTAAAAAACAACAGCAAAACAAAACAAAAAAACCCCCTGCAATATCGGTAACAATTAAACCAAAAATAAAGTGCTTTAATCTTAAAGTTGCTAATTGATCTAATTCCATATTAACATATTGATCAAAAGCTCTCCAAAGCTTATCCTTTACGTTTTCATAAAACCGAATTAAAATAAGATTTGTTTTAACAAATTGATAATTTGTTATAACAAATAAGTAATTGATTAAATTTATTAAAAAGTTTCGCTAAGATGTTGGCGAGGCCCGTTATGCATAAATTATCCCACGTTTCCAACCGTCAATGATGTTCCTGGCATACTGGACAGACGATAGACCATGATTCATTATATTTAAATTTATTTAGAGATATCTCTTCATGTCTCTTGGAAGTAGGGAATAATCGCAAGTTTCTGCAACATCCCCTGTTGCCAAGTTGATTTGAATTTGCTGTATAGATAAGCGTTTGAAATTTGAAATATAGAATGTACAATGTACTTTCTATATTTCAAAGGATGACTGCACTTAAGGACATACGAAATTTGCGACAAAATAAACTTTCAAAACATGAATTTTTCTTTTCATTGCAAGAATGGTCAACATCCAATCTACAACTTTATGTAATTACGTTTAATAAAAGTGTGTATTTACGAAGTTCGAATCTGTTTTCAAAGGCAGGGGTCATCACAATTTCTTGAATCTCCGTTCGATAATGAGGACGCCCACTTTTTTACTGACTTTATACATAGTCAGCGCATGTTTGTCTATTGTTCTACGCTTAACAGTAGTTGCATATTTGCATAAATAATAATGTGTCAAAAGGAGATTAATAGACAAACATGCGCTCATGGTTAAAAAGAGAAAAAAACTGCTTCTTCTTACATTCGCTCTCTGTGTTGTAACCAAGGATTGTGACATGTTGAATATTATAATTCACCACGTGATTTCTTACCTCAGGTAACTTTGTGAATACTAAATTCCGTCACGTGACTTGTAAGGTAGCATGTTTGTGCTAACTAGGACATTGTGTTCGAACACATTAAGTCATCTGGCATTGGTATATAATCTGCTTTAATTCGTTGACATGCTCATATTGTTAATTTTGTTTTGAAGCTTTTGTCAGAAGTGTATTTGTGCCATACAGAATGGAGAGGGAGATTGGAAAGAGTGATCACGTTCTTTTTTCCAAACATGTCATTGTTATTTATCAAGTCTAATTTTAGAGCCATTCTTACAATGTTAGCTCCACCTCTCATGCATATCTAATGTTCAATCAAGGGCAGGTAAGTGTAAAGTCACTATATTTGGAAAGCAGTAAGGACAAAAACATTGAATCATTTTATTGTATCACAGTCTACAATCATTTTAAGATTTAAATTTGGTTCCAAATTGACAGGATTCTTTCATAAACATACAAAAGTGAAATAAAGTTTAGATATAAAAGCAACAGAAGCAACCGAAAAAGACCCAAAAATAGGCGTTAAGTGCAGTCATCCTTTCAAACGCTTTTCAATGTAGCATGTACTTTGTAATGCTTATGGAGATTATTCCGCGAAAGACCGCGCTACCACAGCATGCGCCCTGTTTGATTGTGACGTAATGAGTTCAGTATAAACAAAAAGATTCCATCAAACAGGTAGACAAATTTCAGTTCATCTTGCCAAAAAAATGTTTGACATATTTGCATTGTGACAACGTCATGTCATGGATACGGCGCCATTTAGTTGCAATCGGACGTGTGAAATATTTCAGACTTTTTTATCATGAAGTTAAAAGTTATTCTAACTCATTGCAGCGCATACAAGGCAAAAAGGCTAAAATATAACTTGTTGCTTAACAAATACCAACAATTAAGCGATTGTATCTTTTTATTAGAAGGTGGTTTTTTTCAGAATAACATGGTATAACTGAAGAAAATGTACTTTATAAATCTATTCTAGATGTCTAATTATGAATAATCTTTCAATGCAATGCATTCGTATTTCTTTCCTTAATTTTTTTTTTACGGAACAATAAATAGAGGATATTCAATGTTTTGTAGATGAATATGGAATTTATTTCACGAGTGGGACAGGAATTTTTTTTTTTATTTTCATGAGTGAGAAGCACGAGTGAAAATATAAAAAAAAAATCCTGTCTCACGAGTGAAATAAATTCCATATTCATCCACAAAACATTGAATTTTCTGTATATTACATTTTCTTTGATTTTTCCTTTGCCCCTGTCTTTTCTTAACACAGTATCATAGGCTTGACGTCAT